TACTATTCTATTAAAATATTGTTTGACATCTTTTTCTTAATTCCTGATTTTGGGGTCACTCAGATTTATATATATCAAATCTATATTTAGGAAAGAGATCTATATATATATTATCTTATATTTATTGAAATCTTATATATGTATATATAATTAAAAAGATATTTTCTTAATATTAAAATTATAGTAAAAAAGATTCGCTTTTTCTCTATGTATCGGTATAATCTAGTCATCACGTTTTATTTATTCTATTGTATTTAGTATATGATACTTAGAATTGACTTCCAAGGGCATATCCGATGATTAAGAAAGATCTCCTCTCGGGTAGTATCACGCGCGTTTTATGGGATATTGTTTGCCATAACATGCTCCGGAAACGCGCCGGAGGGCACGACATGGACCCCTTCGCCTAACTCGCTTTGGCATAATCGAGGCCGCGCGCGTATCATCCGCTTGAAACCCGACGCGCTTTTCGGAAATTCAATATACTTAGCCGAGAGACCCTTCTACGACCCTCATCGCCATCGCGTTAAGGGAAACCCCGAATCTGCAACAAAGACTCTCGGCATATTTCGACGATTACCGCGGACTTGCAAAAGCATTCTTCCTTCGGCGCTAAGAAAGAAACCTCTAAAACCTAAATATATTTAAAGATAAACACATTGATATATACATTATTCACATGATGATTTGAAAGAATCATATTTGATATCTTTATATGTGTTTTTGCAGCGTATCTGTTTTTTTATGATAAATATTATATGGTATTATAGTGGTTAAAATACAAATATATATATATTTGTATTTTAACCACTATAATACCATATCATTTTATCATTTATTAATATTAGAATTATTTGATCTATTCTTAAAGTATCTATTTCTGATTTTTGTGTGTCTACTTTTTATTTATTTTATTATTTTATTTGATCAATCAGGATATATCTCATTTGTGTTGATATCACATGATTACCGATTGGTCTCATTTTCGGTTGTATCCTTTGGGGCAGGAGTAATAAGTTTCCACATTAAGACGGATGATATACATGTATTATACATACATATATATATACGATATACACATGCCAAAGCGAGAAATCAATTTATCGCGCGAGAAGAAGGCGGCCATTCGCACACCAAGTGGCGGGCTGCGTTATGTGTATTGTATGCAGAGAGATAAGTACCTTTGTCCTTTCCAACGGTCTCTCTCAGCATTGTCCTCTTCTCTCTGGCCATAGGATTCACGCGCGACATGTCCCTTTTCCTCGCCCTCGTACATTCCGACGAGATGAGGATGCTGCGGTACATCTCTCTGGCGCATCTCGTTGCGCGACCGCTTGGCACGTGCACTAGATAGACATTATCTATAATAACGCGCGTTATATATATATATATATATATATATATAAAGTTGTATATATAAGTAGGATGTTCATTGCCGAGTTCAGGGTAGATAGAAAGATAATTTAAAATAAAATTTTAAATAACATTAAAATAAAAATAATTATTTTTGAATTTCTCAATTATTTAAGAAGTTTTGAATTTAAAAATATTTAGAAAATTCTATTTATTTTATTTAGACATGTTTATGTACTTTTATACATTTTCATATTTATATATTTTTAATTACATAACCATATATATACTTTACAAAATCTGGACTTGTCTAATTTAACTTTTATAAAAAATAAATTATACATCATACAAAACGCGCTTTATAGAATAATTAAAATCTCATTTTAAATATTTACCTTTTGTTGATTCACCGTAAAAATTCATGTAATTAAAAACTCTGCGGGATGCAAGATCTATTCATCCATAGATGAAAATAGGAGAAAGAGAGATGACATTATTCGCGGTTCGCGGCGGCGCCAGCAGCCGCGCGACGCTTGCGTGGACGCGGTGACGTCATGACGATCGATCCGAAGTTGCCACGCGGTGGCGCGATCTGCCGGCGTCGGCGCGTTATTATAGGGCGATTCGAAGGAGCATCACGACCGGGGGTTGCTTTCTCCGACGACGAGGCAGGAGAGTAGGTACCGAGCCAGCGAGGGTGGGGAGCGACGTCGTCGTCTTCGACATCGTCTTCGACATCATCTTCGTCCTCATCGTCATCGAAAAGAGGCGAAGTGTATTCCGGATCGGCAATAGTTTCCGCCCGTTTTCATCCTCGGTGAAGTCTTTGCTTACCGGTAATTTCTCTCCAGTTTTCGGTGTGACAGTGTTCAGAGTATAGTATAAAGTGAAGGTGGAAGAGACAAGGAAAGGTGTCTGAAAACCGTTAGAAGAAACGCGGCGACCCGAGCTGAACGGTAATCTAGTAATCTCTATTTGTCTCTTTGGAACTCATTGTTAATTAGTTTAAATATTGGTTGTTGAATATGGTGAATACAGGGTGTGAATGGCGGAAAAGTCCGAGGGCGAAAGGGAAAGTCTGACAAAGACTGTTTTCTTAGCAGATGCAATGTTTAAACTTTAAACAGCATAAGTATCATTCGCGGTTTCTCAAATAAAAATTTATTAGCATTCACTTGTAGCAAGAAAGAAAATCTAGATTATATATCATCTTCAAGTAATTTAGATTCAATCAAAATTTTTAACATCGTTTTTGTCTTGATATTATTTATTGTAATAATTTCTTAGGAGGATGATTTTTTTAAGAGTGATTTTTTTCTGTATTTTAAATATAATTTTTTATAAGTTTAAGCAATTTGAATTTTACTTTTGTAATGTAGATTCTTTATTAAGAGATATACTATTATTTTTTTAAATTGAATAATAGATCTTTATGAGAGAAATTTTATTATAAATTTAGAGACACGTTGACAGTGTAATAAATAAGGCTCAAGTATATCTTTACTTTCTTTGGGATATCGAGATACATAATTTAGGATTAATTAAATCCTAAATTTAAAACCAATCTACTGTCAAATTTTTTAAAAATAATAATTAGATGAAACAAGCACAAATTTTATGATTTAATGTGATATCTGAGTTTTAATGTATTATCCATATGTTTTTCTTAAATTATTATATTTTATCTTTTTGCAAAACACCAGTTAATATGGTTTTTTTTTTTTAAATTCATTATTTAACTGTTGGATACGAATTTTGCAATAACTCTCTAAAATTGCACAAGCTCTTTCAGATAGTTTTTCCATCTCTTCCTCGTTTTACTCTTTTCTTTTCTGTGTCTTGTCACAATGTAAGACGGTGAATATCGCTTTGCGAAATAGATGTAAAGTTAGAACTTGACGAAGTTCACAGTTTGTCGCGATATCAAAAAGTTATACTTTGTCAGAGATGCTCGACAGGTACCTTAAAATTTGTTAGGAATTTGTACCGAGAAATTTAATTCGTTAAGATTTAAATCATAAAAAATTGACATTAAAGAATTTCTTTTAATTTTTACAAAATTATATCTTTCTGTTTTTATTAATGGAGAAAGAGAGAGAGAAGAGAGAAAAAAAAGAAAATTGTTTACCGGTACACAAATTAAATTAAACTCAAAAAACATAATATATTAATATTAATATTACAACTGTATAGAGTGCTCTAAAAAAAGCGAGAACTTTATTCTCATATTTGCAGATGATTCTTGCGAGATCTTTTTCGGATTTCTTTCGTGTTTTCCGCTTTGTTACAACTTTTTAATTATCGACACTAATTGTGCTTGTAATCAAGAAGTTTTGCGAGTAACGAGTTTAAGAAATGACATTCGAAGTTTCTGTTCGCTGTTCAAGTTTCTTGCGAGAATAAAGTTATCGTGCGCTAGCTAGGAAGTTACCGTTTAATTCCGACGCCGGTTGAGCTTTCCGCAAATATTTAATCCGCGCAAAGTGATCAATGAGCTCATAAATCACAAGATGTGAAAAACGATCTGAAAATTAATACGATGGAAGAAAGAATATATTTCCGACTGCTGTTATATAGAAAGAAAGAAAGTCCCATTCAATATACGATTTTTTATTAACTTTAGCATATTAAAAATAATTTCAAATTTAAATCAAAGTTTATTTGGTACAAAAAATTTAAAATTATTTTAAATAAAATAATATA